TAAAACTGTAGACAAGGTATGATTTTTAAAGGGAAAGGCACTTAAGCTGGCAGAAAAAGCAGTGATGCCAAGATTACCCAGCTTGTGAAATACTTTCCTCTCTGCCTCCTATATTGTCAACTGTATTAGGTAGAAATTATAATAGTTATGAGGATTGTTTCACATCTCTGACCTTGCTCCTTTTCTCTGCTATATATGGCAGTTTTAATCTTCTCCTTCTATGCATTTCTTCAACATCGTACCGTTGCACAGACACTCCAGTATTAATGTAACAAATCACACAGCACATTTTTAAAAGTTTATTTATTTATTTGGGGGGGGAGGGGCAAGGAGAGATTGAGAGAGAATCCCAAGCAGGCTCCGCGCTCGAACTCATGAACTGTGAGATCATGACCTGAGCCAAAATTAGAAGTCAGATGCTTAGCCAACTGAGCCACCCAGGCACCCCTATACTTTTTTTCCCACATAGCACATTTTTGTATGTCTGATGTGCAAAGCACAATGTTGGGTGCTAGAAATGAAACAGAGGTGACAGAGATAAAACTCTTGCTCTCACAGTTGTCAGTCTTTTTAAGAGTTAAAATACTCCGCAAAGTGCAAAAAGTGGACTAGTTTTAAGTGTACAGCTTGATGAATTTTTAAATATGTAAATAATCATTTCCAGCACCTCAGAAGTTTCCTCCATGCTCTTGCCAATATACAGTGCAAAACCACTTTTCTTTATTCTGTCATCAGAACCTACTATGTATCATAATGGCCTTTTAAATTGGTAACTGGGTTTCTCTAAAAGCTGGATTGTCAGTTTTTAACCTAATGTTTCAGAAAAAAATTTGACTGTCCATGTTGAGAGAGACTTGGAATTGGTGATCTAGGCTGCCCAGTAGCGCCAAATACTTTGTTATATAATAAGTTGATATATTGGGAAATTAAAGAAATTGCCATGTGATATTAAATAGCATGGGGGAAATGGAAAGAGTAGGGATTTTTTTGTCAGAACATCTAAGTTTGAATCTTCAGCTCTGCAACTTACATGTTCTGTAATATTTAACAAATCACACCTTCTGTGGGCCTCTCTTCAGATATAAAATGCAGATAATACCCTGCTTACCTACCTCACAAGATGTGTTGTTTTAAATAAAATAATGTACAATGTAAGTAGTGCTAATGAAATATTAATAAACCAACATTTGGGTGTACCCTGTGTACCTAAGTAATCTAAATCCAAACACTCCTTCTGTCTAATATATGGCAGAGTGAGAAAAATCTCTGTGGAGGAGATTCCTTAGTAGGAACCCTGAGATGCGGTTCTCTTTAGAGTGGCTATCTGTTTTGCCCAGATCTGGAGGCTCTTCATTTGGCCTTACTTTTTACAGAACCATTTTCTATTATATTCTGTTATATAGCAAACATAAGGTCATTTCCAGTTCTCAAATCCTAGGCCCCTTAATTTCTTTGCTAAAGTTGATTATGAGTTGGGAGTTGTGGCCCTCTCTTCTTAAAAGGGAGCTTCATCATAGCCAATGAAAGATTTCTGATCTGTTTGGTTTTTTTTTTCCTGGGGTTGAGTATAAAAAGGGCAAAATTAGGATGCTTTTCGTAACACATAGAATAAAAAATTTCATGCCATTTAACCTTTTTAAGCCCAGGAGTGGGCAGGTAATAAGAGATAAATGTATGGTCTATGTCCGATTTTATGGTTTTCTCTAAGACTTAAGTCAAATTACTATTTTAACTAATACATCTTAGCAGAATTTAAAGCACAGACTTAAAATCAGTGGATAAGATTGAATCTCAAAAGTAATTGTAATTTTTTTTCATGATACAGAAGTATAAGTTAAGAAAAAAACATTATGTCCCCACTACTGTCACTAATAAATAAAACACAGATAAAAATTTTAAACATTCATTTCTCCTAAAGATTTTCTAAATATTTTTTCAATTCAAAATATCCATAGCTTTAGGAAAAAATACCACTTGCTAGTAATTATCTATTTAAAGGGGGCAGAATTTATCATTTGTCACTTACCACTCATTTCCACTTCAGTGTCCTATTGGACTTCCAAAAATTTAAAGAATCTTAAATTTTTAAAGAATTCAAATTATTTAAAAATTTTCTTTAAACAGCTATGTGTGAACAGTAATATACAATAATTACTAAATAATGGTGCTTCAATAAATCAAGTTTTCAGGGATATCAGCAGAGTAAACAAAGTATGTTTTTGACAAAAGTAAACATCTTGCCTGTTTTTCTTCTTTATTATCTAATCAAAGTAGTATGGCTTTGCATAAATTGTAGTAATAGAGAAGATGGAGTATTTGGGGATCTATTTGTGGAATTTAGTCTCAGAGACTTCACCGGGAACATGGTGCAGACTCGATGAACCCTTGAGAATGTCTTATGTAAAGGGGTGCCTGAGTGGCTCAGTCAATTGAGCATCTGACTCTTCATTCTGGTTCTGATAATGATCCCAGGGTCAGGGGATCAAGCCCTGCGTCAAGTTCCATGTTGAGCATGGAGCCTGCTTAAGATTCTCTCTCCCTCTGCCCCTCCCCTGCTTGTGCTCTTTCTGTCTCAAATAAAAAAAATAATAAAATGACTTTAAAAGAATGTACTTAAAATTGCTGTTAACTAATGAATTACCCTTCTTAGGGACGATAATAAATTTGAAGGCACTGTAAAAGTGGTTTTTCTTAAGTTCTCAGGTATTCAATTATTTATGTTAAATGTGACATCAAGATGTAATCATTTGTACAATGTCAAAATGGTTTTTGTTGTACAGAATATTTTATTACCTTTGTAATATCTTTGTATACAGTGATTTTTTTTCGTGGTAATAAATGGAAAAAACTCAAAGACTTAAAATTTTGTTGTGATTTGACTAAAACTATTGATGAGATTTTGTTATTTATAGCATCCTCCTTGGGAAAGGTAGTTTGGTTGCTTAGAAACATTAGACATTTTTATAGAAAGCTATAATGAATATACCTGCATATGTAACTGTTCTTTGAAATGATCATTTTTGTAGAGTGCTAAAATGCATTTTTAAAAGATTTTCATTTTCTGCCTTCCTGACATTTCCTGCCTCTCCCCCTTCCTGTATATTTCAGGACAAAAGTCATTTGCTTATTCTGAGCAAGGTACTGGTAGGTACTTTGCCACAGGCAGAGGTGATGCACCAGCCTGGGACTGCTGGGTGGAGCCTAAGGAGAACAGATGAGGGTGGTAGAGAGGGGACTCTCCAGTGTCTGGAATAAGGTATAGGAGATTGGTTATTTAGGAGGGGTACTGATCTAACAAGTAAATAAATAAGGCTAATGGAAGCCAGATTTCTGTTAAAGGTATTACAAATATGATAAGGGAGAAAACTAGAATAAGGTTGGAATGGGAAGTACTGGTATACAACTCCCAATTTTCAATATGTGTATGTGTGTGTATATGTGTATATATGCATTTGCATTTGCAAGTAACAAATTATAACCCATCAAATAAAACAGGAAGCCACAAATCCTCAAGAAGGGAAAGTTCTACCTTTCAGTGGAATGCTAACCAATAAATGTAAAAGGAATAGTGGGATTAGAAAATCAGTATTTGACAAATCTTCAGTAAATGCTAAAATTAATAGATGAAAGTTTGATAGTCTCCGTATAAGGTACTCATTAATTAAAGGGGAAAAAAAGAGTAACTATAAAAGTGGAAGCCTGGCAGACGCTACCTTCACTAAGTGATTAAAATCCAGTCATCAGTACCTGTACAAATCAAAACTGTATGATACCTGATAATATGCAAGAAGATACTATCTCATATGGTGTTCCTGCTAGATAGGTGCAACCTGAGTCTAATAATAAGGAAACATCAGGCAAACCCAAATTGAGGAGCAATCTACAAAATAACTGACCTGAAATGTTCAAAAATATTAAACTAACGAAAGCCAAGGTAAGACAAACTATTTCAGATTAGTGGAGACTAAAGAAACAACAGTTATGTGCAAAGCTTGATTCCTTGCCTGTGAAAGTCACCGTTGGGACAACTGGTGAGACTTAAGTGGGATCTGTGGATTACGTAGTCATAATATCCATGTTAAATCCTGAGTTGAAAGTTCTGTTGTGGCGAAGAAGAATGTCTTCGTTTGTAGAAATTACACACTAAAGTATTCAGGGTGGTGGGGAATCACTGGTTCAATGGTTCAGGGGTAAAGGTTCTTTGTACTTTTCTTGCAACTTTCCTGTAGGTTTGAAATTATTTCAAAATGAAAAAAAATTAAATGAATATCATAAAAGCAGTATTTTTTTCCATAATAAAGCGGTGCCTAGGGGCCTCAGTCAGTTACGTGTTTGACCCTTGATTTCTGTTCAGGTCATGATCACAGTTTGTGAGTTTTGAGCCCCATGTCAGGCTCTGTGCTAACAGTGCAGAGCCTGCTTGGGATTCTCTCTCCCTCTTTCTCTGCCCCTCCTGTGTGCACTTTCTCTCTCTCAAAATAAAAACCTTAAAAAAAAAAAAGGGTACCATTTCAAAAAATCCAAAAAAGCTGGCATCAAAGCTCATTCTCTTTACATAGGCTTAATAATCAAGGATAAAGCTCCAAAAGAAAAGATCAGCCTAAGTAAAATGTTTTTCCCTTTGGAAATGGAAATTTAACTTCTAAGTTTATTTCATGTAACTTGTTAATGTCACCAGTTATCTTACTTGGGAAATTTTTTCTTTTACTTTTCCAGGTATTCAGAGTTGTGTTTCCTAAACTAAATCACAGACTATATTTGGAACAAAGAAATACTAAGAAGTACAATAGGCCCTTTCTCTAAGCGTTATTAAAGACTTAATTTAAACAAAGCTACAAAAAAATAAATAAAAAATAAAGCTACGAGAGGAGATCACAAAACTAATTTAGAAATGATTTTATAGAGGCAAAAGTGAAACTATAGCACTCTCATTACTTAATGTTCCCGGTTCTACATAAAACAAATACCTAACATTAATTTTTAACAACCTGTGTCTCACAATATATGAACATATGGAATAAATAAAGTACAGACAGCTAATGTTTTTGCTTAAAACTCTGCATGTCAGGAATAGATATTTAAGAAATAGAGATCTTCTGTTAAGAGATTCTGTTAAGATCCCAAATTATTTAAATCTTTTGTAGCAAAACCTCCCCAGAAATGGAGAAACACTCACACAAAATTTCTTGCCTATTTATCAGAAGTTTATTTGCATTATCCCTTTCTCATTTTCTGGCATTGAAAATAATAGTGAAAAAAGTTTTTGCTAGTATTCATTCATATATGAATCTTCATGTCAATTAAATAATTTTCCTGATTTCTAAAATGAGTAATAATACATCTTGGTATCTATGAAGTATGTTTAATGAAGAGATGGAAAACAATAATCCAATACCATCCAAGTCACATATGTTTTAAATAAGCTCAGATAGTTGAATCAGGGTGATAAATTATACTTAAATCTCAAATTTTAATGAGATTGCTGAATTGTTCCCTTAATGACCCATCCATTTTCTTTAGGTTTGGATTATTTCCTGTTCTCTCTTCATAGTACCAACTTACTAACAAATGGTCACCATATGAGATCATATGAAATATGCTTGGGCTATATTTTTGGTAAGCTCTTTGATTTGGTATCTAAATTCCAAAAGTCATTTCTCATGGTTAGTGCATTTAAATGACATTCTCAGGTGCCTCCTTCACACATTGGGTGTTCAATAACAAGGTGTATTAAGAAAGGACCTTAAAGACCAGTAAACTTCAGTTTTAGCCCCTGATAAGGAAGAAACAAATAATTTTAGACAAATCATTTTTAACTTTCATTCTTTGGTCTTCATATTTATAAAATGGAAATGATGAAATCCTATCCACACGATGCACATGTTTGAAATTGTATAATAGATTGAAGCACTCTGGAATAATAGCAGATTGTTTACCAATCTTAATTTTTCAAAATCTTATCCCTGGGTTTGAAATTACTGAAGGCACTTGTGTCTCCTTATTTAAAAGATTTATGCAAGTCTCTTACCAGGGTATACCTCAGTTCCTAAGGTTTCACTTTCCCTCCCCAGGAAACGTATTGATATTTTTAGGTTGTCAAAATAGTAACTTGAAGTCATTAAGATTTGTCACAGATTGTACCAAAGAGTACTTCTGTTGGTAATAGCTTGCTTGAAGTTTACTGGGAAAAATATTAATGATGTCAGATTTATGTTTGATATCTTGGGATATTATAGGATACTGCACTTTATGTAAATCTACATCTTTTATAAAGTTCATTCAAACAAATTTAGAACATGATTTTGAAGGTGGTATGTCTTGTGCAGGGAAATTGTGCTGAAAGAAATTACGGCTTCTCAGATTATCAGAATGTATCCTATTTGTGTACTTCTCTAAATGGAGTAATTAAGAGAATCATTTCATTATTCATAGTTTGGCTTGTGGGGGTTGGAAAAGGAACAAGAAAAATCATAAGACATCCTTAGAACATTTAACACAAAATGTACACATATATAGATCCTGAGATGTTACAACAAATTTTAAAATACATAGATCAACATGATCCAAATGGTTTCCAAGACACTGTTATGGTGATTAAAGAGCCATTATACAGTGCTGAATGGATGTCCACATCGTGCCATGAAAACCCTACTCTGTGTTTCCAAGTTTGAAAGCTAGTCATCCAGAGCAGGGGGCCAGTCAACATCTACAGACTAGAAGGAAGAAACAAGACATTAAAACATATTACTGCTCCAGTAAGCATTTGCTGATAATGCTTATAAACTTAATAGTTTTAATATAACGCAACAGAAGAAACTGCATTTGAAGAACAGTCCTTAAATGCCACAATTCAACACACTCTAAAATCCATATGAGGCCTTGAGATTCTTGGGCCCAAGGTCTGTTTCTGAATTCATAGAGTATTTGGTTCTCAGCCAGTTATCAACTGTACCTTTGAACGATAAGGGACTAGAGTACCTCTGAATTTTGTAAATGTTATTTATGGGTAAAATAGCAAACAAATTCAGGGAGCAAGACCAACTCTCCCTCAGAAGTCTCAGCAACTTTTACTCTTCAGATCATTTTCAACTTCCCATCTTGCATTTAACAAATTCTCAAGCAGTTTATACACATATAGTGTTATTTGTAACCTAGCAACCAAATGAAAAATAAATGAACATGAAAGAGCACCTGGAACTAGAAAAGAATAAATGATCATTGGGTATCATTTCAGAATTTTTGCTTCTTGTAAAATCAAATTTATCTATCTCTACTCACCTGGTTTGGTTCTTCTAGAACAAAATCTTTATATCATAATGAAATTACAGTAGCACACTATTTTTTTCTCCACATACACAATCACATTCTAAGCTTTGCAAGTATGAAATTGCACCTTGTCTTAACTACCCTAGAGGGCCTAATTTGAGAGGAAAATTAAAAAAAAATCCACTGTACCCATGTCTTGTTTTTTTTTTTTGAGACTTAAATTTTAAAACCCAATATGATTTACCAAAAGTGATTTTTTAAAATTAATCTATGAGATACTACCAGAATTAGGAAAATTATGTGTGTGTATTTTTTAGAAATTCCAAGATATTTTGATTCTTTTTCAGAACACAGCCATGTACGTAACCCCCAAATATAGGTTCTTCATGGGTTGTTTTTCATTCCTGAAAACTAAACATTTCAGGACACAATCTTGTATGTGTTAAAAGCAGGGTTCGTTTAAAAAGCTCTCTAGGTGATTTCAATGGACAAACAGGGATGAGGGACACTGGCCTGTGACCCTGATATTCCTAAACTGCTCTAAGAATTAAGATCAAAGAAGGTGAATGCAGTTGAGATTTTCTTTAACAAAATGTTGTCTTCCTCAAAATAAGTCTCACAAGAAGGCTCCCTGCAGCCTTGAAGGTGCTGTCACTGGCTATACTGAAAGGGCTGTAGAAAATCTAATCTGAAAGCACTGAAGAAAACTGCTCGTAAGGTAATAATGCTCCAGTGATCATGTGATTACCATAGCTGTTTTCACCCTAGGCAATTATAGCCACTTCTTTTGATAACATTAATCCCAAGTGCTAAATGCTAGCCTCCTAAAATTACTTTTGTTGGGAGTGGTGTTGGGAGAGGGACCCCCTTCCTCATCAGGTATTTGTCAAGGACACAACTTGTGACTGCCTACTGATGCTCAAATGAGAAAAAATATTTATGGAGAATTGTGTGAAAGACCTATTCATGCCACTCTTCTAAATACTTAAGAATTTAACCTTGTTCCAATTCAGACGATAAGGGCAAAGATTTTGTACCACAACATAGGGGTCCCTGACAGAACTGCTTTTGTTAATAAATGTGGGCTCATCCCATTTTCTATCCCTGTCCTGAATGTATGCTTCTGAGCTGTCTGCCTTAAATTTTCTTTGAAACAAAACAGGTATGGAAATGAACTCTCTCGAGTCCAAAGGACATATGAAGGGCTCTTAAGCTTCATTTCCTTGCTTTAAGCATTTAAGATCTCATGCCGCATGTAAAGCAACTTAGTTAGTAAATTAGCTATATAATTGCAAGGATCATAAATGAGACTTTGTATTTTTAAAAAGATAAAAATTCCAAAGAGTTCCTCCCTGCAATACAATGCCACTGTGAGATTTTGACCATTTTCAAATACCTATTAAGGTGAGTAGTGATAGATACCTGTGTGGCTTAATGCCCCCCCCCAAAAAGGATAACCTTGATTGAATTCAATGTACAAACAGGCATTTCCACAATAAAAGGGTTTACCTCAACATCCAGCTCAAGAATGTCTGCGGTCATATTCATTAGAGAGCCAATGTTCGGCTTGGTTCTCCCAAAGTCTCCGTGTACAAACTCTTTAATGTAGCTGGGATTTGTTTAAGGAAACAATGGAGATAGCTAGGCAGCACCAACTGTTTGGTGAGACTTGATAGGTGAAAGGGAAATGACAGACAAAAGCAGAAATGTTTCAAGGGAGAGGTTATTTCCAAGCTATGACCAGTGATGTGTGTCTTAGAAAATAAGCTCTGGCAAACTGGCTGCCAACAGCAGTTGGCAGCAAACAGCAGGACTTGGCACTAAGAGTCATGACTTTCTTTTTTTCTTTTAGTTCATCTCCAGGTGCCAAAATTTAGCTATGCATTTTTTTAAGATTTTTTTTTTTTAATTTTTAAATAATCCCTACACTCAAGTGTAGAGCTTGAACCCACAACCCCAAGGTCAAGAGTTGCACGCTTCACTGACTGAGCTGGCCAGGCGACCCTGGATGTAGATTTTTTTTTAAGTTTATTTATTTATTTTGAAAGAGTGTGTGTGCATGCATGCAAGCAGGGGCAGGGACAAAGAGAGAGGAGAAAGAGGCTCTGCACTGTCAGCACAAGTCCAGGCGGGGCTTACAACTCACAAACTGTGAGATCATGACCTGAGCTGAAATCAAGAGTTGGACGCTTAACCGACTGAGGTGCCCCTGGTGCCCCTGGATATGGATTTTTTTAAATTAACTGTAGTTCAATGCTAAATAAACAAAACAAACCCTTAGCTATTTTTTATCTGCAACAAATTCCATTTTGTCATCTTTTCAGTCCCATTTTTCAATAATGTCAGCTGGCATCTGCCGGATAAGTTTCCAGAGGGTCACACACACAGTTACCTCAATGATGGCTTTCCTGGTAGGAGTAGAATGGAAGGGACAATGAGAACATTAATTTAGTCTTGATAAGGGCCCTTCAGAAGGATTATTAGAGGACCTAAGTTCTTGTTTGCAACTCTTGCATGGTTAACAAGAGAATTATGTTAATTATTTTTTAAAGGGGCAATTTTGTGTTTCCCTCACAGGTCTTCAAATTACTTATTAAGATTACATTAATATTCCTTATACAGGACTCTACTACAGCTTTGAAAATATTTATCTGGGGGCACCTGGGTGGCTCAGTCGGTTAAGCGTCCGACTTTGGCTCAGGTCATGATCTCACAGTACGTGGGTTCGAGCCCCGTGTCGGGTTCTGTGCTGACAGCTGGCTCAGAGCCTGGAGCCTGCTTTGGATTCTGTGTCTCCCTCTCTCTCCGACCCTCCCCTGCTCACACTGCCTCTCTGTCTCAGAAATAAATTAAAAAAAAAAAAAACATTAAAAATATTTTAAAAATATTTATCTGAAAGATATAATTTTGCTAGCATTAAGTAAAAACTCATTCAGCATTCTGTTGTGTTTTATAAACCAGCACTTAGTATAAAAACTCAATATAATTTGAATAGGAAAAGTAAGTTTATTCTCAGATGATAAATAAAACACTTCCACCACTAACATGCTGATATGATGAAGTTCTGAAGTTTATTCACTCTACTTTCACCAAATGTCTTGACTCAAGGATAAGACACGTAATTATCTAGTAACTGCCTTCTTTACTAAAAACGTAATTACACAACAATTATTCTTTTTTTCTCACTTTCTTTAGAGACTGCTACTTCTGGTTTTTAAAAAAAATTTTTTTAATGTTCATTTACTTTTGAGACCAAGAGAGACAGAGTGCAAGCAAGGGAGGAGCAGAGAGAGCAGGAGACACAGAACTTAAAACAGGCTCCAGGCTCTGAGCTGTCAGCACAGAACCCGCTGCGGGGCTCAAACCCAGGAACCCAGGAACCGTGAGATCATGACCTGAGCCAAAGTTGGTCGCTTAACCAACTGAGCCCCCCAGGCGCCCCTAGAGAATGCTACTTCTGAGTAGCCATGATGCGGGAACATGACCAAAAAGCCCCAGAATAACCAGCTGGTAGGGCCAGAACGGTTCTTATTCATAGCCAGAAAGATGAGGTGTAAGTCAAATGAACTAGTTCAGTGTACTGAGCAGTATATGTGAAAAATTCACATCTGTGTATAACCACACTGTATCTAAAGCTTTACCAAACAGTCTTTCTTGGCTAATCCCTTAAGTTCAGGCACATGGCTAGCCCTAAAAATGTTTTAATAAGATTGAAAAGATATTCCTTTCTTCAAAAGACCACTGCATTTCACCTTAGCACACTAAACCAAAAGCTAGAATTAGGTGAAAAAGAATGGGGAAAAAAACCCCAGGCAACTGATTTCTTTGACACCCCATTCACTTTCCATCTACAGTAGGCAAATGTGCTCCAAAGGTCTGTCCCACTGTGTTCTAAACAGATCATCCCTTAATCCAAACCAAAAAGTTTAAGAGATTTCAAAAGGAAATAACATACACCTCTTTCAGCTTCGCAAATTCTGGTTGCTTCTGGGATGGTGAGGGGCAGGGTGGGGCAGGACGTTGGTGGGGAGAGACAGGCTAATTACAGCAATATGGTGACAATGCTACTTGGTGATTAAAATGACTTTTTTTTTGGCCTTTGATCCATAAGTAGATCACTAGTTTTATTCTAGTTAGGTATTTTATCACTTCATACTATTGGATCACGAAATAATATAAAAACAAGAAACAAATATCAGGAGCACCTTTGAAAAGTAAACTAGAGCTAGGACTATGGCAACTCCCTGATGTGTTTTAACCAGCAACTCAGAGCTAATACAAAACCACACAGGGCAGGGCACAGTATGAACAAGTGCTCATTTGTGGACTGTTCTCTTGTTTTGGGCAAGTGACCAAATAAAATGTAGATTGGTCTGTACGGTAGAGCCACTCTCGTCTACTACCAGCGTTTAACGATCTGAAGCAAGTGCTCCAAATGCTGTAAGGACCCAAATGTCATTATGAAAATGTGACTTGCAAAATGTATGAAGACCCAAATCAATAAGTGAACCAATCAGAAGTGTTTCCTGAGTACTTCCTATGCAGTCGGCCTTGTGTGAGACACTGAGACTGTTTTAAAGTTCACACACTATTGGCTGCTGCCTCGTGTTTTAAAAAGACATTTTGAAAAATACAAATTAAATGGGAACTCCTCCCCTGTGCCCCCAAAGACAGAATTCTCCTCCAACCTAATCCTTACCCTAATTGTTCCTAGATCAAATTGAACTTATCTTCTGGGGCAGCATGAACTCTTCCACTAAGGTTCCACTTAGATTACTGCTGGGTGGAAGGCGAAAGGATACGTGCCAGCTTGAGTCTTCAGGTAGAGGTGGAAATGATGTTCATCCACATAGCGCGTCTCCATGGAGTGAATGATGCGAGTTCTCACAGCCAGGGGCCTCCGATGCAGAACTCGGAGGGGCGTTTTCTGGTCAATCTTTAAGTCCTAGAGGAGGATATGTTATACAACTGTGGAGTCATTTCTGCTGCCCGGGGAACCCTGTCTCAGTACCTCCTTTGTCATCCATGGGTCACGACCGAGGTCTTCTTTGGTGAACCCCATCTATCACTGTCAGGGTAGATACTAGGACTATAATAAATTGTACCCCCTGAGGTCCAGACTCTGTGGAACTTCTCATAACCTAGTCTGTAGTTACTCATTTTCTGGGCCTCAGTATGCCATTAAAAAAAAGGCTTGGAATGGGGCACCTGAGTGGCTCAGTCAGTTAAACTTCTGACTCTTTGATTTTGGCTCTTGGTCATGATCTCACAGTTGGTGGGATCTAGACTCACACTGGGCTCTGTGTTGACAGCTCAGATCCTGCTTGGGAGTCTCTCTCTCTCCCTCTCTCTCTATCCCTCCCCAGCTACTGTGTACTTGTGCTCTCTCTCTCAAAAATAAATGAACATTTTTTTAAAAAAGGCTTTGAAGTCAATGATCCCCAAGGTCTATTTTACTCTAATATTTAATAGATTGTTTAGGACCCTGGAGTTCTAGTCTGCCCTTTACTTTAACAGAGCTCTTCTAGAAGACCTGTTCTTAACCTTTTTTCCCCCTAACCCAACAGATCATCTAACAGTGAGGTGAATGGCTGAGGTGAGAAATGGCTTTTTATAGAAGGTAAGATCTTGGCATCACTGTATGTATGGGCAGTGTGCAAGTTTTAAGGACAACCATATACCTACTCACGAGGTTCTTTTTGTTGTTGTTGTTATATGAAAAGGTATGTCTGGAAAATTAACAGTTACATCATTGGTTAGGGTAGTATTTTCAACATAATAATTACAAAGAAGTGTGAATAATAAACCAGGACCTCTCAGTATTTTAAGCCCAGTTCAAGTTACTGGAGAATAAGAATACTGCATGCCTTTTGACAATTTCGATTTTTTAGGGTCACAGGCTTGTTTTTCTTTACTTAGAGATTTCTTTTTGTCATTAGATATAAATTAAGAAATAGAGATTAATATTGTAAAAAGTCAACTAATTCTATGTTTTAAAAATAGATACTGGACATAACCAGAAATGTAGGTCCAGGAGAACTTTTGAATCTTCTGACATTTCTTGTTGGAACAACTCTTTCCTGCTTTACATGATTTGGGAGCACCTGAAGCCATGCTCAGAGAACAAAGATTTCTGTCTGGTCTCTCCTCTACCAAGTTTTCCACCCAGAAATAAAGAGCAAGTTCTAACAAAGACTACACTTGAAATGGTGTGACTGTTTTGATCATAGCAGTGAGTCAATGGCCCTTCTTAACTCACGGGTTTTATGACTCCATAATTCTTTGATTTTAGAAGCACTTTGGTCTGCTGAGATAGGCTGTCTACCTAAGGTCTGACATTCCTCTGGCCAAAAAGACAAAAAAAGGGACACGGCTGAACTGTCAAGGAATCTGTACAGATACAGGCACCACTGTAGAATACAGAAATAGCTGGCCTTTAAATGAATAACTAAGGAGTACTCTACTTCCCCTTGGACTCGTACTCACTCCCGGTACTAGTCATGGGAGTACTGACTGAGCTGAGAGACCCACCACCGTTTCCAACATAACATTCGATCAGCACACACTCCTGTGTGTTTTGTGTCTCCTTGTTTTCAATAGACAAAAGGAAACCATTTACTTTAACATTACATTCTTCTAGCCCCATTCAGCTGAATTTTCAGAAACATAGACACATACACAGACTACTTCTTTTCCCCCTAGAAATAGGTTACTCTTGAAAAAGAAGAGACAAGTAGTAAATCTGAAGTGACTTTTTCTCAAAAAGGGGCAGGAACTCAGTTCTTCTATTTTTTTTTTCTTAATGTTTATTTTTGAGAGAGCAAGAGCAGAGGAGGAGCAGAGAGAGGGAGACAGAGGATCCAAAGAGGGCTCTGCAATGACAGCAGAGAGCTCCATGTGGGGCTTGAACTCATGAACTGTGAGGTCATGACTTAAGCTGAAGTCAGACCCTCAACCGACTGAGCCACCCAGGTGCCCCTCAGTTTTTCTATTCTTGATGACAACAGGAATATTTGAAATTAGTTTTAACCCCAACACAAAAAAATTATTAGAAGTCAGCTAGTCCCATCAGTCCATTTATGCTATGAACCATAGCTCATTGCTTACTCTGTACCTACAAAAATCATCTTTCACATTATTCAGCATTATTTCTGAATTAGCTCTGAATTGGCCTACCTTCAAACTATGAATCTATTTTCTTTTTAAGTAATCTCTATACCCAGCATGGGGCTTGAACTCACGACCCCAAGATCAAGAGAGTCACATGCTCTACTATCTGAGCCATCCAGGGGCACCTGGAATGAATGAATCTATTTTTAAAATGAGTTTATTTCCCCCCCAGGATTCTGAATGACTTATATGTGTGATGAAGTAGAGGTTTAAAATTTGTTTTAGATATCTTAAGGATATCTGTCTAGAGTTAAACTATCATTATAAAGGCTCCATATAATGGGTTAAAAGCCAAAATGGCTTTTGATATAGACTCATAGAACCTGAGATCTGGAGGACCACTGGGGGTGATCTAGTCAACCCTCCCCCGCCCATATTAGAGATGAACTTGTCTAAGCAGGTGAATGACTCGTATATTTTCACTGAAACACTCATACTATTAACATATTCTGCCCTTCACTTTCTTTCTCATAATGTCATGTGTGTTTCTGTAAGTCATAGGTGTAGACCTATACTTTTTCCCAACAATTTTAGGCATCTATACACAAAATAACATAAATGTGATCACACGCTGCTTTGGTTTTTTTTTAATAGCTTTATAATATTCCAGCTTGTTCTGCCATTTCCTGTTTGAAGGAAGTTTACCTTGCTTCTAGCTGTGGTATTGCTGATTTTTGCCACTTTGAAAAAAGTAAGTAAACATCTTTGTGCACAAATCCTTAAGCCCTGGAGTTTTATTTCTCCAAGACACACTGCCAGTAGTAGAGGGCTAGGTAGAAGACCAATATGTTTTTAATTTTTACAATCATTGCTACAGTGTTTTCCAAAAAAGCTAAAACCTTTACATTTCTACCGACAAAGTATGCAACTAGTCTTCTCCTCCATGCCAACCAATAGGTGCTAGTCTCAGAAGACTAAAGTGAGGTCTTATTGTTACTTTAATCCAAAAGTGGAACATCTTTTCAGATGATTTTTGGCCATTTGTAGCTACTCTTTTTTCAGATGCTTGCTCCTTTGTCTATTTTTCTCTATTGGGTGTTTGTATTTTTCATAATTAGAAATCCTATTTATGGGACCTTTTGCCATACGATTTATGTTCTACATAGTCACAGCTATGTGTGCACAGAGACACACACTTGCGCATATGTTTATTTACTTTTTAAAAAATGTTTAATGTTTATTTTTGAGACAGAGAGAGAGAGAGAGCGAGAGAGAGCGCGCGCGAGAGAGCGCGCACGCATGAGCGGGGGATAGGCAGAGAGAGAGACACACACAGAATCTGAAGCAGGCTCCAGGCTCTGAACTGTCAGCACAGAGTCCAATGCAGGCGGGGCTCAAATCCATGAACTGTGAGATCATGACCTGAGCCAAAGTCAGATGCTTAACTGACTGAGCCACCCAGGTGCCCTCTCATGTGTATGTTTAAACCACAATGTATCACCCAATAAATACTCTTATAGCTTGTTTTCTTCTCCCGAACATTTATCAGGAACATTTTCCTTTGTCAATAAATAGTCATCCACTACATATTTTTTAACAGCTGGTTAGCAGTAGTCCATCATACGGATAAACCATAAGATGAAGTCTGTCTACTCTAGTAGGTCATCTAGATTATTACAAAATATCATCCATTTAAACAATGTTGTGATAACTATACAGACCTCTATGCCCATTTATGCTCATTCCTTGCACTTGAGAGTAAATTATCCTTACAGGAAGAGGTGGGGATAGGTAAGAAGAAATATGCAAAGGAACAGGGAGACCCTTTACAGTGCCATGCTCATGTGAAGGAAAACCTAGCATGTGCCAAAATATTTGTGCTATACATCTATTATCCTTCTTAAAAATTTATAACATGTTGGGGCACCTGGGTGGCTCAGTCGGTGAAGGGTCCAACTTCAGCTCAGGTTATGATCTCACAGTACGTGGTTTTGAGCCCCGCGTTGGACTCTGTGCTAACAGCTGAGCCTGGAGCCTGCTTCTGTCTCCCTCTCTTTACGTCCCTCCCCCACTTGTGTTCTGTCTCTCTCTGTCTCCCCCCTTCAAAAATAAACATTAAAACAAATTCATAACATATTTTACTTATGCACTTAATTTTAGCATCAATTCTATTAGACAATTCTATTTCATATTTCCTTTTTACAGAAGGCCAAATACAATGATAGCACTGCTCACGTTTTCTATGTACCAGAGATACTGTCTAAGTGCTTCACATGACAACTCATTTCATTCTTCTGATTTTACAGATTAAGGAACCGAAGCATAAAGAGGCCAAGCAAGTCTTCCAAAGTCACACAACTAGGAAATGCAGATTCAGGATTTGCATCCAAGCAATCTGTGCCCAGAGGCAGGATCTTAATCACTAGCAATGCTGCCTCTCAAACAGGTTCAATGAATTGCCCAGTCATTCAACCAGTAAATGGCAAAGCCAGGATTTGAAAGTAGATCTCACATTCCCCCAAGCGCATGCTCTATGACTTGCTACTAACAAACTAACAGACAAAGGAATCTTTTATAGGCAATCAAAAAAAAAAAAAATAGCACTTAACTACCTTTATGTCATTTAGGAATGCAATGTCTTTCTTCTGTATGGCTTTATTTGTCCATATTAAGGCACTATAAGATTTGGTCTTTTCTTCTTCACCTTCTTTCATATGTCCTATTGCCTCTCTAAACAAAAATAAGAAAAGAAAGTTTGTCTAAATAGATAAAATACACACAAGCCTTGCCCCAACTTCCCCTTCTTTAAAAATAGCTTTATCAAGATAAAATTTACATACAATTCCCATTTTAACTGTACTATTCAGTGATTTTTTGCATGTTTAGAGAGTTGTATACCTATCACCACAATCTAATTTTAGAATACTTCATTACCCCAAAAGAAAAACTCCATTGCTATTTGTAGTTGCTTCCCATTTCCTGTTTCCCTAGCCCTTAGTGACCACTAATTGACTTTCTGTCTCCGTAGATTTCCCTACTCTGAATATTTCATATAAAATGGAATCATACAATACGTGGTATGTGGTGTCTGGTTTCTTTTACTTCATGTTTTCAAGGTTCGTTTATGTTGGCACAGGTATCAGTATGCTATTCCTTTTTATTACTGAATAATATTCTGTTGTATGGAGATACCATATTCTATCCATGGACATTTGGGTTGTTTCTACTTTTTTGCTATTATGAATAATGCTACTATGAGCATTCATGAAAAAGTCTTTGTGTGGATGTACATTTTCGTTTCTCTTGGGTATAGATCTAGAAGTGGAATTGCTGGGCCATAATGGTAACTCTAAACTGCCCTCCAAAGTAACCATACTTATAATCTCATAGCGATATCTGACAGTTCCAATTTCTCCACATCTTTGCCAGCATTTGGTTTTTCTCTTTTCTATTTGATTATAGCCATCCTAGTGAGGGTAAAGTGGGATATCACTGTGGTTTTGACTTGCCCTTTCCTAATGGCAAATAATATTAAACATTTTTTTTCATGTATTCATGCATTAATTGAATATCCTCTTTGGAGAAATGTCCACTTAATCATCTTCCCTATTTTTAATAGGGCTATTTTCTTATTATTGAGTTGTAAGAGTTCTTTATATCTCCTGGATACAATTCCCTTAACAGATACATGACCTACAACCAAAACTTCCCTTTTGAGTCCATCTCCTGTGAGTCTACCCTTACCTTGTGACAAGCTGCAAGTCACGGACTTGGATTTTGTTAGATGAATTATTAATTTTCTGTAGTAGCAGAAAAAGAAAAACAATTAGCAACCCTAGTTCAGTCACAGAGTTGCAGAAACATGACGATTTCCATGTCATGAAGTGGTTTACCTGCTGAAGTTCCTTAATTTCTTGTGAAGTGAAATGTACTCTATGAGGATTCACCAGCTCAATTGCAAAGGGCCTTCCTGGCAGCACACACCCCGTCATGAAACAGAAACGTGTTGATGGAGTTAACATTTGGGCTAATGCAAGAGGGTTAGGAGGTGTGAAAAACGAGTTGGGCTCTAGAGGACTGAAAGTTTAGTGACATGACTACATCTGGGGGAGGGAAGAATGTGTGAAAAGAATCAAGGGGCTTTTTGAGGGGCTGCTAAACCCCATGACAGGCAAGATGTGAAAATGACTGCTTTCCCAAAGGTCCATGAACAAGCCTGTGTTAATTATAAAATAAAATCCAAGCAAGTGCTAACTAATTTAGTTACACAAAGGTACCGTTATCACACACAGCAATGCCCAGGTATACCAAGCTGAAATCCATCCTCCCAGCCTAATCCACTAGTGAAATGGAAAAGCTGTGATTCCATAAAGGGAAGGAACTATTAACTCTGATCATCTTTCTTGTAATGCAACAATGCAAAACGAGAGAAATGAAGGCTAAGAGAGCAGAATCACTTTTTAAATGAAGATGTGCATTTTGAAAACTGCACTGGTACTGCTGAAATGTTATCAGATGGAACAATTAATAATCAAACTTTTGGAAAAACTCGGCCACCACCCTGTTAGTGCACACAAAATTCCCTTAGAACCTACAAGTATGCAATAAGGATGGCTTCTGAACAAATGAGTCCTGTTAAGACATAATCATATAATTTATAAAGGTAGCTCCATAATTCACAAAGCCTCCTCACTGGGAGAAGCTCTGGGCTGTGCCCACGTTGGTTTTAACTAAGCAACTACAGCGAACCTGCTGTCTGAGGAAGGGTGACAGTCTGAAAGTTAGTTCTAGTCAAGTGATACTGTTGCAATCTTACCATTTCCTAATGTTCTCACATCTACATCTTCTCTTCCAGAGGAGGAAAAATTAAAACCTTTGTAAAGGAGATAAAGAAAAATAATTAGAAACATATTAGCCCTAAGACTTTTCATCCCCACCCTTTGGCAGAAACTCCATTTGTCTTAAACAATCTACAGGAGAACTCCAAGGGACAGTCATAATCCCACCTCTAACCCCAGTCTCTAATAACAATAGCAGTGATAATAAGAAGCACCATTTATTGAGCACTTATATGCTGAGCACTGAGCTAAAATTCTGCATACATTATTTCATTCAATCCTTATTAGAACCTTATGATGTAGCTATTAAATAAAAGAACACCAAGATTCTAAAAGGATAAGTACTTTTCCCAAAGTTGCATGATTAAATGGCTGAGCTAGACATTTCTGATGTCAAAGCCAGACCTTAACTATCAGCTTATGCCATCATCCCACGGGATACCAAAGGCAGAGCACTTTTTAGAGGAAGGCTCCACAACAACCCTGGTCACAAGCCTATGAAAAATCTGTCATTTTATTTCTTTTTTATTTTTTTTTTAATGTTTTATTTATTTCTAGGAGAGAGAGAGAGACAGCGTGAGCAGGGGAGGGTCAGAGAGAGAGGGAGTCACAGACTGAAACAGGCTCCAGGCTCTGAGCTGGCAGTCAGCACAGAGCCTGACGCGGGGCTCGAACCCACGAACTGCGAGATCATGACCTAAGCGAAAGTCGGACGCCCAACCGACTAAGCCACCCAGGCGCCCCTGTCATTTTATTTCTTGAAATGAAAGCAGAAACAAAACAAAGCAGAAAACATTTACTTGAGAATTAAACAATTACATACTGAATTGAAACAAAACAAAGCAGAAAACATTTATTTGAGAATTAAACTCTGTGAAAGGAAGAGGAGGTAAAAAGGGTTTAAACGCGAATTCTTTGTATTAAGCAAACCTAAGCTGGAACCACAACAAAACTAGTGTTCATTCTAAGATAAATGGATCCTCCTAGACTAAAAGCTACAAATATTACAATGGGAAATAGTGTCCAAAAAAGGAGGGGGTGGGGGGGACTGTTGCATCATAACTTTCTGAGATACAAAGCTGACGATTTCACCATCATCACCAGAGCAAACATTACCATAGGTAGGCATTATTCTAAATGTTTCATAGATGTTAACACTATAAGGTAGGTACTATCATTATCCTCATTTTACTTACAAGGAAAACAACACAGACAGGATAGGTAACTTGCCTAGGATCAAGCGGTAGGGCCAGGATTTGAACCAAGCGGTCTGGCTCCAGAGTCTCCTAATCATTGTCTATGCAACACCACCAAAAGACAGGCAGAAGAGTTCAGACTCATGCCCACAGGAAAGCAAGATTGGTCTTCTTGGCTCAGGGATTAGAAAAGCCTGGGACATTTGGAGAACTCTGGACAGACATTAGAGTTTGGTAAAGTTTAAGATCTCTGGACACATATATTAAAGGCTAGAACTCAGACTCACACTCTGATTTATTGATTCAGGAACAAATATCTAGAGGTATGTGCAAGGCACTGTGCTAGATACCAGGAAGATAAACAAGATGGACGCGGTCCTTATCCTCACAGGGCTTAGTGTTTGTGAAGGGATAGAGATTGTAAGATAGTGGGTAGGGCTACGACAGGAAGCATACAGGAAAATTCCTGCACTAAGAGCACAGTTGCAACATGAGCTATGAGATTTGTATTTCTCAATGGTCTAGACACTTGGGAGAGCACAAGATGAGGAAGAACAAGAGGGCTGAGAAGAGCAAATGGGAAAGGTGGAAGGAGGGTGAACATCATTTCAACGGCAGCTTATTTCCCAGGAAAGAGTCTATGTGTAAAGGTCCCATGTAGATTTTAGAAAAAGGAAGTAAAAAAGTCCTATGAAAACTCTGAAACTATGAAAACACTGAAGATTAGCCCTCTTTTTGAAGATACTTAACTGTGAAGAAAGTAGGATTTCACCCTTCCTTCATGTCTAAGATCCTTTTGGCAAGCCAAGGCCAACTCTTTAGAGAACATAGGTTCTGAGCTGCTGTTTGACACGTACTGCCAAGGTAAAGTGGGCTCCTCCCTCCCACAGGGGCCAAAATTATGGGTCTCACAGAGAGGAGCAACCCAGTGCTGGTTAGGTAATAAGGGCCAGACAGCCAAGGTAGGCCTAGAATTTAAGCTGCTAGTTAGGCTCAGAAGTCTGGGTAACATGGGGCACCTGGGTGGCTCAGTCAGCTGAGCATCCAACTCTTGATTTCAGCTCAGGTCATGATCTCATGGTTCATGGTATTAAGCCGCACTATGGGCTCTGCACTGGCAGTGCATAGCCTGCTTATGATCCTCTCTCTCTCTCTCTCTGCCCCTTCTCACTTGTGTTTGTTCTCTCTCTCCCTCTCTCAAAATAAATAAATAACATAAAAAAAGATTTTTAAAAAGTCTGTGTAACTTGTTGGGTGCCTGAGTGGCTCAGTCCACTAAGTGTCCATGTCTTGATGCCAAGATCATGAATTCAAGCCCCTGTTGGGCTCCACACTTAAAAAACAAATATAAATAAATAAAAATGAAAAGAAACCTGGGTAACTTGTGCTGCATTATCACCTAAGAAGTGGCCAAGTAAGCAGCTATGAAAGCCACAGGGTCAGGCTCTTCTTGAGGTGGAGAATACAGGCCACACAAGGAGTGAGATTCTGTGGACCATTAAGTCCCAAAGAACCCTCCATTCCATTTTTGCACTCCATTGTTAATAAAACCCATGGTAACATCAGTAGCTTCCAGTCAGAATCAACAGATTCAAGAGTAGGTAACTAGGGATGGATAGGTAAATGGGGAATGCAGAACGGCATCTGGGAAGCTGTAAGATACTGACTCCCTGGGGCTGTGATTGTCTTATACCTGCCCACCTCTATCTCCAAACCTCCATAATGTCAGGGAACCAGAGGACCCATAGTGACTGAGCCATAACCTGTGACTGATGGGGGAGAAGGGAAAGAACAGGACACACAGAGAGAAGTCTACCAGTGACAGCTAAGTCAGACCAGAAATCTCCAATTCATAAATTAGCCCATAAAACATCCACAACTTCCAGCCCATTAATAAAAAAGAGGTGTAGAAAGGAAGGCTCTTGAGAAGTTCAGAGAAACATTAAATCCAAACAAAGGAAGAAAAATATCTCAAATTTGGACAGTACATCGAGAAATACTTTTGGGGGTGGCACACCTGGGCGGCTCAGTTAGTTAAGCATCAGATTCTTGATTTTGGCTCAGGTCATGATTCCAGGGTTGTGGGATTGAGCCCCATGGGAGGCTCTGTGCTGAGCTGGAGAATGCTTAAGATTCTCTCTCTCTCTCTCTCTCTCTCTCTCTCTCTCTCCTTCCGCCCCTCTCCCCTGCTTGCATGCTCGTTCTCTGTCTCTAAAAATAGATAGATTTTTAGGAATAATAAATAGTAAATAATAGAAAACTCAAAAAATACCTTTGGGGTAATCTTTAAAACTTTATTCATATGCAATCATGAGTAATAGCTAACAACAAAAGGAAACGGAGTTAAGATTTAACTCCTTAATACCTTAAATATTAGGAAATACATGTTTAAAATTTGGTTGAGTATTCATTTTAAAAAAATTTTTAAGTTTACTTATTTATGTTGAGAGTGACAGAGACAGCACAAGTGGGGGAGGGGCAGAAAGAGAGGGAGAGAAAGAGAATCCCAAGCAGGTTCTGCACTGCCAGCACAGAGCCCAACATGGGGCTCGAACCCATGAACCATGAGATCATAACCTGAATCAAAACCAAGAGTCAGACTCTTAACCAACTAAGCCACCCAAGTGCCCTTTCTTTTTTTAAAGATTTTCTCTACACCCAATGTGGGGCTCATACTCACAACCCCTAGATCAAGAGTCATATGCTTTACTGACTGGGCCAGCCAGGTGCCCCCAGATGAGTTTTCTAAATTTACATTATGCCTTGTCTTATACCCATAAGCCTGTGAGTTCCTTTTATTCAAAGGAACAGATATTTCAAAAACAAAAACAAAAACAAAAACAAAACCAAGTGCAAGAATGATCAGGAACTATTAGCAGTTTAGCTAGTATGTAGTGGCCCTCATACCCAGGGCACACAGATGATGGGCCTGAAAAATGGACAGAGGCTAGATGATTAAAGCCTCAGAAGATCAAGTTCAGTAGTTTGGATTTTATCCTGCATGTACTCATCGGCGAGTTTTCAGTAGGGAAATAATGTGACAGATATTTATTCAGTAAGTGAAATAATAAATGTATTAGGGAAAAGTTTCTTAACACAGTGACTTTGAGAGTGTGTCAACATTTACTACTCATTAACCAGGGGATTAGCAAATCAATAATATGATGTGCCAGTTTGAAGTGACTGAGAAACAAGTTTATATTTCCCACTTAGGGGAAGGGACCTTTATATGAGTAGCTAAACTGCCTCATATAATACTGCTTATTTTTAGAGCGGTGAAAAACATAGAGGTACATCAGTCAGAACCATCTTCACAGAGTTGTCCCACGTGAAGTACAGAAATAACAAGTAATATACCTGAGATACACAGGGTTAGCAAATTGATGCTATCAGTCAGGCATTTCAAACAACCAATTTTATCCCCTGACAAGGAGCCAGTTAGCACTGAGGCCCAGAGGTCTGCTTTTTCTCAAGCTGTTCTTAATAAATTTCCTCAGGACACAATTACAGATCCTAAAGACCCAGTACGCTTCATTTTCAGTTTGGAGATAATTTTCCCCCCTCAAATGGAAAATGAAAGCAAGCTAACTTCATGAAAGATTGCAAGGGGGAAACATAGCTGTTTCAGAGCCTCCTGGCAGCCCTATTGGCAGTGGGGCCTTCCTTGAGACCCAAATAATCAAAATTGAAAGTTTCTTGAATCATCTTATACAAAGAGAGTAAGGTGGCTACAAAAAGGGTTTGAAAGAGACTTTTTTTTACTAAAGCTTAATTTTTACTTCTTTATAACTTGGATAAATCTTACTAGATAACCAGTAGGTAAAAGCTCATGGCAATATCCCAGAGTCTTTTTTAAAAAATATTTTATTTATTTATTTTGAGAGAGAGAGAGAATACACACACACACAAGCAGAGAAGGGGCAGAGGAAGAGGGAGGGGGAGAGAGAGACTCCCAAGCAGCCTCCATATTGTCAGTGCAGAGCCCTATATGGGGCTTGAACTCAGTCTGTGAGATCATGACCTGAGCTGAGATCAAGAGTTGGATACTTAACTGAGTCATCCAGGCACCCCTCTATCCCAGAGTCTTTACTGCTGAGATTTTGGAAAACGTTAGGTTGCTAGGTTAATTTCCTATTCATTCAGTCTTCTGAATGACTAGTCCTTCTTCTTAAGGACCCTTAAAAAGAGAGTCCACCTACCGGAGAGACAACAAATTATAAAAGAGGGATGTAGTTTAAAGTGCTTTTCTTCCTTACTGACAAGCCAGAGAGGTGGAAGGAACAGCCGCATCTCATCTCAATCATCTGCTTGCCATTCCTAAAGCAGGCTTGTCTTAAGGTTTTTCAGAGAGAATAGATATCTAGTTGGTTCCTCAAAAAAGGTGTTGTAATTATGCTAGGAAACCCACTTTAAAGTAAATCAATCATTACTTATTGCTGACAGTTTTTCCTGATGTACAACATGACTTCCTGCAATTGAAATCTTAGCTGCTTCCCTCTAGTCTAATTCTAGGTGAAATCACAGGCTCTATGTGGTCTGCGACCTGACAGACCTACTGAGACAGAGAAAACAGAAACCTGGCAGGATCTGACTCATCCCACAAACCTGGGCTCATTAACATCTAGAAAATTAAAATAGAACATAACTATCATGAAGTCTTTGTAAAATGGTAGCTGTTGACCTGTTTTCTCTAGGCCTGAACTTTATTCCAGGACATTTTCCCAGTTAAGCTGGGGAAGCTAGGCATTTGCCAGTGATTATTCTCAAACAAGAACTGGATGTGGAAGTTGCGTTTTAATTTCCTCATATTCCCCCCCAAAGAGGCCAAGTCTGAGGTGTCCCAAGGTCAGAACTTAAGTGCATTCACTTAAAATAGTTTCAGTGGTTTTGAATTTGCTCAGGAAAGAACAGTCATCTTGAGAGAGGAAAGAAATCCTTGGCTCAACTCCAGCCCAAGTCAGAGGTGCTCAGGACATGGTGACCCCTGTTCATGAGACGCTGCCAGGCAAGAAGTCCAGATCTGGTGCTTTACAACATTTAGAAACCTTTCCTGCAACCTCAAAGAAATCTATTCATGAACGACAATGTACTTAAAATATCAATATTATAACACTTACTCTCGGCTTTGAATACTGCCAAAAGATGATCTGAAATTAATTCTTCCACGGAAGATTCCAGCTTCCTTTCTCCATCAATTATCCAAGGAGTTTGTGGTAGATTCCTGGAATATTTATTATACCTCCCTGCCAAAGAAACATAAGGTAGCCCAGATGGAATGGTATAATTAACACAACAGGATAAAACAACTATATATTGAGCGCAAATATCCTAGGTGCCATGATACAAAGCAAGGTTTGCCCTTCAACTAACTTACAGTCTAATCTGGGGAGCCAGCACACAGACACATAAATATTTAAATTAAAAGATTTAGGGTAACAATAGAAGAGATGGCTAAAGACATGGTATAAATCATCAGATGAGCTCTAAAGGAATTATGCAATATATTTATTAATCTGATTGGATGACTGAACAAGTTATATTATGGGACACACCAAGGATCATTATAAAAAAACCCAGCAGCTACTGTTTTTATGCCTGATTAATAATACTTTTAATGCAATACTCGGTGATAATATATTCAAAAGAGTTCAAATATGGGAAATTTTGAAGTTTAATTAAAAACAATAAAACAAAAAACAACTCTGACAGAAAATGATTCACTGCTTTATGAAGAAAGCTGCACTAAGGCAGGTAGCTCTCATTACCACAGGGCAGGGTATTACAGTTAAGACTACGGAGCAATTTCATCTCAGCCATTACTAGGAAATAGATGTAGCTTTCAAAACAAAAACTATCTGCTAGGTTACCTCTTGGGAAGGTCAATGAAACAACTATTTTTAAACAATTTTTTATTTTTAAGCAGAAGCTCAATCTTCAGTCATTTTGCAGATAATACAATTATTCTTTCAAGTTTGCTTTTATGCTTTCTGTGATTATGTTTTCTCCTGATCAGTTTCAGGTCTCTGCATCTACCCATATTTCTATGGGTATTGGTCACCTCTGATGGAAACTATTAGAACTTAAGAAGTGTCATTTCCCTTTGGCATGGCATTTTAAATAACCAATCTGAGTGGACCTTGAGAATACATATAGAACCTAAAATAAGCTTGACTATCAGTCCTAGTTCTCAAAAGAGTTAATTAACCAGAACCTGGTAACAAAAATAAATAAAAAGGAAACAGAGGAGGAGTGACTTGAGTTTTCAGAAAGGAGAGTAAGTTGATAGTGTAAGTATATTCTAGACTAAATATTTTACCAGCCACAAAAACAGCACCATGAGCACACTCAATTTCAAGAACAGTGCATACAGCCTTTGGTGAGTTTGGAGGACAAGGAAACTGCCTGCAAAACAAAATAAATTTTACAGCTACTATTTTCCAGAAAAGATATTGAACCACATAACTAGGATGAATCAGCATTGTCTGAGACACACGGAACCCGAGTCTCTCATGGACTAAGCCACTCCCTAACTCTAAGTTTCAACATCATAAGGATCGTATAGGCCTCAAGTACGTTTTAACACATGAGACTGACACAAAGTCAGTCAGGGTTCTGCTACTACCTTTCACTCAGGAGGCTGCACGTTCCCAGATGATAATTTCTAACAGCCTTGAGATCTGAGAGAAAAACCCATATTTATGAAGCAGAAGCCCCTCCAGGTTCTTTAGCCATTTTGCTATATCCATGAACACTTGGTGCCGGCTTAACAAATCCTTAATCATTTGGGTAAAACTGATAATCCCACCTGTGGGGAGGGTCTCCACCAGTTTTCTCTCTTTCTCTTTCTCATTCCACCTATGACCTCGGGAATTAGATCACAGGGCCAGAAAAAGTGGAATGTGGCAGACTTTGCCCTTTAAATTAAGAAACTTCAATCTGCGGACAGACAGGAAAGAGCAATACAGGGCTTTATTTTCTGTCTACCATCTGGGAACTTCCAAAGCCCTGGATTGGAGTCTATGTGTAAATGCCTTGATGTAGACTGACTCCAAACGCTTGGCTTGAAAATTTCATACAGTTTCCTAAGATGTCTTAACAAAAAAAGTCACTTAGAATCTCAGGAACCATTGCTTGTAAAGAGAGGCTGACTTTACTTTCTAAAATTTAATGTAAGTATTTCCATTTTCTGAGACTCACTTTTAGTTAATAAAATATTTAAAACCTTCCTCATAACTTTATTGTTTGAAATTTATTCAAGGATATCCTGGAAAGATAACCACGATAATATTTTATTAAATAAAATGAATACAATGAGAATGAAAATATAAGGTTTATTGTATTTCAGCATATTTTAACAAGTGAAGGGCCTTTTTCTCCCTCTTCTGCAGATGGACAATACTCAAAATGCAGGATGAGGGATGTAATGGGACCAGCTCTGGGCTGGAGAGGCAGGAGCCCAGGCTTTAAGCCTGCTCTATTATCCAGGTGAAATGTTAGGCAAGTCAACTCCCTCAACATCCTCTTTTAAAGATAAGGAAGTTAGATTTGATTCATAAATTCAAATACCAGTTCAATAAACAATTACTGAACTCCAGTACATGCCAGGTACTGAGCCAGAGATTTGGGGATATAATAATGACTAAGATACAATCATCGTCCCTGAAATATATCCAGTGTTGTTTTAGAGACTGGATGTTAGATTATCTCTAACATTCTCTTTATTCTAAAATTCCATGATGCCGCCATGTTTCTATACTTCTACTCACTTGCGGAAATCCTCTTCTTTTATCTTATTCAACGCTTTCATAACTGCCATTCTAGTGAACACTGACTATATAAGGTAAAATGAAAAGAAAAGACATTTTATCACTGAGACAAGAAAACATCAGAGGTAAAACACAGAACACTGTTGGAGAAATTACATCATTTTAAAGGAGAGAAATACTTAATAGCTTCAAGAAGGTAAAACATAAGCATTCATACCATCAGTTCTCCCCACAACCCTTCTTTTAAATCTAGTAGATCTAGCAGAACAATTTGGCAGTTGGTTGCCAGGCTAAGAGGTAAAGAGAGCCAACTAGCCCATCCTGGTATCTAACAACTCAACATTACTCGCCAGCCACAAGGCAAGAAAACAAATCCATTGTAACAGAAGGGCATCTACAACAAATGTCCCACTATGGGTTTTTTTAAATAAGAGGAGTCAAACCGTATGGTACATACACTAGAACAAATTAGCATATATATTCATGGCTTACTATGATAAATCACAATTTTCTCTTCTGTTTTGTAAAATTATGCTTGACTAAAAAGAGGCACAAAGTATGCCTCTCAAGAGTTTATCATCAAATGAATGATTTTCTAAATCATATTTTGGAAAACCCCAAAGTATAGGGTTAAAACTGAAAATTAAGTGCCTATTTGTTAAGATATGAAATCTTAAGCATAAAAGAATCTCAAAAGGTCATTTAATTTACTCTCAGCAATTAGATGGGAAAATGGCCAAATGGCCATATCTGTGACGCTTTGACAACAATTTCCTTGTTCTACAATTCGGTGCTAGTACCTATATATTTCCTCAAAGATAACAAATAATAAAATGAGATCTTCAATATAAACATGGCTACAGGTCATTCGGGCAGGGCTTTCCAACTGGTATGGCAAAGCAATGAGCTACAGTTGTGCCAAGACATGGAGCCCTTGAATTCACAAGGGCCAAAAACCCCTGCTTCCAAATTAGAGCAACTTGTTAACCTCAGGGTGCTGAACAAACATGGTAATGTTCTACGTGTATCATGATGTGAGAAAGGTGGGAAGCAGTGCTTTAGACTTTCTTTGCATTTGTAATTATTTCTGCATAGGGAATTTGACAAATCGTGCCAACTCTGTCTCCTATCCCTCAACTCTTCCTCTCCCCCGCTACCCCCTGGTTCCAAAAGGCTCAGCAACCAGTCAAAGCAAGAGTAAAGACTAACAGATGTATCTTTGGCAATAAACTTACATTCTTTTTTTTCTTTTCTTTTTTTCTTTTAGACCATGTGCATGCATGCATGTGAGAAGGGGAGGGGCAGAGGGAGGGAGAAAGAGAGAACCCCAAGTGGGATTCACATAGTCAGTGTAGAGCTCGTGGAGTTTGAATGCACAAACCTTGAGATTATGACTTGAGCCAAAATCTAGAGTCAGACACTTAACCAACTAAGCCACCCAGGCACCCCAGAAGAGAGAATCTTAAGCAGGCTCTATGCTCAGTTTGGAGCCCGATGTGGGGTTTGATCCCACGGCCCTGGGACCATGACCTAAGCCAAAGTCAAGAATCAGACGCTTAATTGACTGAACCACCTAGGTGCCCAAAACTTACATTATTTTTAACAACCATACAGTAAAATAGATGTTAGTAAAAGTAATGCCTGAGTATCTACATAAAATCAGCTAAGTATCTGTGGCATGAAAGCTTGCCAATATCATTGTCTTGCCATTCTATCCTGGCATAGCAGAAACTAAAAACACATGCTAACTAATTTGCTCATTGACATGAAAACCAGCTCACATCAAATAAAGGGTAGTTTGTATAAATGCCCATTTGCAAATGTAGCCTGAAATAGGCATATTAATTCAGATTGTCCTAAGTAAAATAATTCATTTTGGATTATATTTCTTAAATGCCAAGTCCTAGAAAATGAGTATTAGACAAAAGTTTGGAATGCTAATCATTAACATGGATTTTCCCCAATGATGTAATTTTGGGAATAAAACCTAAAAGTCGAATTTCCCCAAACGGGTAACAGTAACATGATTGAAACACTGGTTCTAAATTTAACAACACCAGGGAGACAACCCAAACAGTGACACAAATATGAAAATGTTTGTGTTATGACTTCCGAGCTAGAGGCAAAGGTGTTCAGAGTTGAAAAAAATAAAAATAGCTGTAGCAAATGGAAATATTTAAAGATACATTGCCAACATTTCTAACGCATATCATTTTGCTGTTACTTTGAATATTCAGCTCAGATAAAACTCATTAAAGAATAAAAAGGAGGAATCCTTACCTGTTTGTTTTTGGCTGGCTTGAAGCAATCAGGGCATATCGCACGTCTAAGTAAAATTCAAGTTAATAAAAAAAAAGTTAATGAGTTTATTTTGGGGTGAATAGCACTCAAATCTATTTTATATGACATCGCTGCTAAACTCAGGATATCAGGAGCAGACAAAATGAACCTCTACACCAGATCTATTGGTTTAATCTACTAAAACAGGACAAGTTACAAAGAGGACTGTTTCATGAAAACGAAAAGCATTAACAATGTTACACAATTGACATTGTTGTTTACGTAGCAACTTACAGGAAGTGGCAATCCTCAACTGTTTCTGGGTGAGCAAAGATCACACTCACTTCAAACAAGCTCTAAAAATTATAAAGACAGTTTAAAAATGAGCAAAAGGAAACCAACATCTAACCACTTATGAATGGAAATAGAAATTAACTCTCATAGACTGGCTCAGAAAACGAATGAGAAGGAAAACTGGAATACTACTCTTCTCAAGTCAGCTTGTTCACAGGGCAGCTGGAAAGGAAACAATTTTGGTTTTTTTTTCTTTTTGTGTTTTTCACTTCAAAGCTCAATCATTAGTGATTCTATCAAAAAAATTTTTAACAAATTTTAAAATAAATTTGTATGATTTTTGTGCATGTATATAAATTCGATGTGAACATGAAAGAGAATTCAGGGAACTGGAAAGAGATAACTGAAAGAATTGTTCCTGTCAATATTATAATTAGAATTATTAGCAAGGCAAAAGCATTTTATTCACATGCTTAAAATCTCTGTACAAGGCTTTGCTTTTTTATTTTTTTTTTTGGTTTAAGGCTTTATTTTTAAGTGCTCAACCTTCTTAATGGATTTAAATTTTAAAAAAGAAATCTTAGTTTTTTATCACAAAAATGATATATACAATTATAAAATAATCAAACACAGAATGGATTTTTAATCCCACACCACTGAGGTAGAATGTAGTAATAGTTTGGCGTGTTTCCTTCTAGCTATTTTTATAGTATAAATGTAAATGTATATACTTCTTGAGATATTAAACATATTGGAAAATTTATTTAATTAAAATATCATAGACATCTTTTCAACTCTAGAGACTGTTAGACATTTAAGTTGTTAGGTTTTCTGTTATTAAAAAATGCGACAATGAACATCCTTGCATACAAAATAAGCGTAATTTCACACTCTATATACATGAATCTCCACAGAGAACAAAATTCCACATTGAGAAAAACAAATGCCATACCATGTAACAATTTAACCTTCTTTACTGAATATTTCTATATTTATTGATTGCATTGGATTGTCAGCAAGCCTATCAGCTACTCTAGAATCACAATAATGAATAGCTAGTGTTTTTTTTCTCTCTCTAATCTACAAAGTAAAATTAAAATTACAAGACATTCCTTTTACTCAAGAAAACTTCACTCATTCTGAATCTATTAGAACACTTGCATCTTTTTGTTTTCTATTTTCTGTTCTCACTGGTTCAACATGTAAAATTACTTATGCTTCAAAACTGAAGTTTGAGGTAAAAATATTTTGCATCAATAACTTCTCTAATTTCCAAAGTACTTTCATTACCTCATTTCCTCTCTGTGTATGTGTGAAGTGGTTTTATTCTCTATTCTATCAGTATTCAGTTTAAAGGACAGAGTTTATTCATACTAACAGAGGGAAACAGAGCTATGAATTTTTCTGAATGGTGAAAATTTTTTTAACTATTTAGCTTTAAAAAATGGTTTTGTGATTTTACTTGAGTAGGGGTGTATCTGATATTCAGGGAATTTCCTTCAAGCAAAATGATAAAGCTATGAGGCCATACTATTAAAATCTAATTTAAGGGAAGCTGGAAATATGTCCTGTTTCCACATCTGGAAACCTGTCGAGCTCTTCCCTAAAATTCAATTCATTCTGGAGACTGAGGAAGGGTCTTTTCTGGAATAGGGGAGATGGCTAAATGTTCTGGTTTCAAAGGCGGTGTCTACCTAAAATTCAAAAGGAGGGACTTGAGATACCAACAAGGTAGGATAGTTAGTTTGGATCCATTCTCACTGCAGTTGATTGGTTATATCTGAAAACAAGATGAGCCACAAATAACCACAGTTGAGTATTTAAGTTATATAAATTACTCGTAGTTACTTATGTATTGCTCTGTATCCGTATGTGTCTCTCCAATTAAAACATAAATATATTAAAGGCACAGGTTAATTTCTAATCTTTTAAAGTCAGTTAGGGTACACTATACTTGTTATACATATAAACATCTTAGATCACAAAGAAGTCTTAAAAAATAAACTTTCTCAATTTAAGACTGTTAGAAATATGTTAAAAGTTTAAAAATCCTTGATTATTTAAAGAGAAGATTATTTTGACTAATCAAAACTCTGCCATATAATGAAGTAAAACGAGTGAATGAAAATAACAATGCTGATGATCAAATACCTTTCCATCAATGGGAACACCCAGTTCCTCTGAAAACAGGGGATGAGTTATCCACTTGTAGGCTTCTTTTAGCTGAACTATATCATTTCTTCCCAGCGACAGATTCTGCTTTCTGAATAACATAAAAATTAATTCACTGACATGAAAAATTTTACTTTTTCAACTAAAAGCAAAAAATTATGCAATTATTTAAAAATATTTATTAAGTGCCTACTGTGTGCCAGGCACTACTTTACACATTAGATAGAAAGTAGAGAACAGCAGGCAAAAATTCCTCACCTCATAGAGGAATACTAATCATCTAGTAGACTCAAAAACCAACTTTTTAAAATGGTATGCAAGAAAATAAAACAAATAAATAAATAAAAGATAGTTTTTAAGCTTCAAAGACAAATGTATATTAATGACCTTTTCTGAGCTACCATTGCCAGATTTCTGGATTTATACATCAGAAGACAGAAAGGTGTAATAGAAGGGATTGTTTATTGCTCAGAAACAACAAAACTGTGTTTTATGATAACCTCATCCAGACTAAAAATGTTTACATCTACTTTCTCTCTGATAATGGGGCTTAATTTTGGGAAATCAATGTAAAAGCTGTATTTTACTGCTAAAGAAGAAACATTAAATCCTAAAATATCAATGTGCTAAAATGCTTGTCAATTTAATTATCAGATAAATGTCTGAATAAAAATCTGACATTCCCCCCAAATCTACTCATGAGCCAATAAATAGATTTGGGGAAGTCCCAATTATGATTTCTAGCTTTTAGTTTGTATCCTAAAATTGTTATAGAAAGGAACTGAAGTGGGTGCCTGGCTGGCTCAGTCAGTAGAGCATGCGACTCTTGATCTCAGGGTCCATGAGTTCAAGCCCCACATTGGGCATGAAAGCTACTTAAAAAATAGAAAGAGAGAAAGGAAGAAAGAGGGAGGGAGGAAGAAAGAAAAGAAAAGAATTGAAGTGGAAAAGAAAGAAAAACATGGATGGTATGATAGTATTAAAAGTGCTTTGTTATGTTGAGCATATTATGATACCATATCACTAACACATTAATAAGTCCTCTTCACTCAAATTATTAAAACTACAAATCAATCTTATGGTTATATACAGGGCTGCTTTTAACAAAAGAGATGTTAGGGCCAACTTGTGAATCATTTCTTCTAATGTCCAATTTTCAGTGATAAAAAATGGCTACTTATATCAAATATTTGTTGTAGTTTAATTCTTGAAGACCAAAAGACACAATTAACTGAAGGTAGAAAACAAAAAATAATTTAGCTAATGGCTAAATTTAACTGATCTAAAAATATGTAAAGATGACTTTCCTCTAAAAATAAAATTAAGAAATAGTTGACATACCCATTCTATATCCAGTTGAAACTATAACCGATAACACAGAATGCTTTCATACAATTTGGGATTGTGGTTTAACAATGAAATACTCAGATAAACCCTATATCTGACAAATAACCAAATTATTTGTCTACATTTAAGAACTTACTGAAACACTAAGTGTTCGAGCTTCATAAACTGTTCCTAATTTTCTGAATATTAGAAACATTAAGTATTTTAATAGACTATTTGATACTGTATCAACAGTTTAGTGTTACTTGCATAAAATAGCATCACAGTTGAAAAGTAAATAATGTATGAGAACACATTTTAAAAGATAAAAAGTTGAAACAAAAAATACAAGAAGAGAAAACCACTTAAACATTGTTTAGACTCAAGACAGTACAAAGGGTTGCAGCAAAAACCAATCCTAAATATGGGTTAAAACATTACTCATGTATTTAAGAAAACTTGTATTTTAACCCCTTCATAGTTTTTGAAATTATTTAGATATCTTAGTCTTAGTCCAGTTTAAAAAAAAATGCAGGTATTTCTACCTTCCAGATTAAAGAGCTAGTAGAAACGGTTAACAGACATCTTGGAAACCTTAACTTTATATATAAGGCAAATAAAATGCCAGATTTCACCTTCTGCCACTTTAATGTCGCTAATAACTTTTTTTTAAGTTTATTTTTTTGAGAGAGCGAAAGAGGGAGAAAGTTGGGAACGCGGAGGGGTAGAGAGAATCCCAAGCAGGCTCCATGCTACCACCACTGAGCCCGACACAGGGCTTGAGTTCACAAACCATGACATCATGACCTGAGCCAAAATCAAGAGTTGGATGCTTTTAACTGACTAAGCCACCCAGGTGCTCCATAACTTTTTAAAAATGATTTAGGGTAAATGTTTTCACAGTAGTCCTTAACATATGCCTGATGGTCCGTTAGAGGAAAAATCAGTCCCAATTTAGTACTTAGTAACCATGTTTCCCTCTCTCCTGAGTCGGATAACTACTGACAAGGCTGTCAACTGCAATCACGTTTGCTATAGATACAACATGACAGCCATCCCAGAGTAAAGATGAACCAAAATATCCAAGCACAATTAATTTTTTAATTCCTTGAATCAATTCTTTAATGACAACTCCTCTATAATATTTTGAATGTAGAATAAACTATGGACACTGAGGGAAAAGATAAGTAGTTTATAATTTTTCTGTTTCAGTAACTATATTGAACAGGATTTTTTGAAGAGCTAAGCTTAGTTTAAAATACTTCAATAAAGAATAACAACAGCAGCTCACAACCAATGTAGATGGAAATGGAAACATTTAGAAAATCTTTAGAAAATAGCGTGCTCTGATTGTGCTAAAATAATTTCTCAAACATAGGATCAAATTTTGTTATGCCAGCATCACAAGCATTTGAGACTAATTTAATACAACCTAAATAAACCTCAAAACCTTTGACAGACATATTGCTATTAGCCTTCTAGAAAAGCATATATAAATAGAAAATAAATCAACAAAAAAGCCAAGTCAATTACTTCTTTTTACAAATCACTTAACCAAGTAGAAGATTCTAATAGAGAAATCTATATTCTCTCTGTGCTTTTCTCTCCAGAGTACACAGGAACCTCAGGTAGTCACATGACCCTTTTTATATTGGTATAAAATTTTTAGCTTCAAAATCCAAGAGGGTCTGGAAAATTAAAGATTTTTTTCTTAACTCAGTTGGTAAGCAAACACTGACTTGAACATGTGGGGGCTGTTTAGAGACTTTTTGTATCAAACTTAGTGTGAATATTCATGTTTCACTGCAGAAATATTAATGTGTTTGATTACAGAGTACACCTCAAACCATGGAGGGGCGGGGTATGTTATATATGCTATTCAACACATTACACTTCTAAAATCTAATAAATTCTAAATTCCAAAACACATTTGGTCCCCAAGGGTTTCAGATAAAGGACTGTGGACCTATGTTTTATATGTTTTATCCATGTATAAACTCAACTGTCTTTCTGCTTTAATTAGGATTTTACCTTGTATCTTTTATAGTATAGTTTTAGAATTTAGTTTCTAAGACCATTATAAAATATATTCTTTTGTAGTAGCTTGCTAAACTACATTATATAAGTGCCTTACACATAAATATAAAATATGTATTTACATTCTTGTTAAATCTACAAAAAAAGATCCACTTTAATAGACATTAGTAAGATGCCATGCAAATAAACTAATTAAACAAGGTTGATACTTAATTCATACCATAAAATTTTTTTTTTTGTTAATTTCTCTAGGAGCTAGTGAACTTACTCTAAAAAAGGAGGTAGTAGTAGCAAAAGTACTTTAAGAATCAGGTAGCTTAAAATAAATAAACATTAAAAAAAGAATCAGGTAGCTTATATTTAAATGGTAGAAAAAATTCCCTACCTAAATTACTTACCCCATTTCCTGTTTTACCAGCAACCATGCAGCGTGCTGTAGGCAATTTAGTCACACCCAGAAAAAGAGAAAAGGGGAAAAATGTTCATTGAAATGAAGTTCCAATATCATTACTAAAGTGCTTAACTAATTTGCTAATCAAACTCTTTTTAGGGGAGTACTGAGTGTTCAGAAATGTGGCAATGACCTAATCTCATTTAAAATCAGAAATGAGGTAAGATGCCACTTTGCAATGCTGGGTTACCGTGGCCGAGGAATTCAACAGGGGTATCTCCCTCCTCCCTACAGATTTCTATCTCATTAATGAGGTACAAATGTTTAACATAAGTAGCTTACTTTTTTCTTCTTAAATTATCTTACTTTTTCACAGAGGAGGGCCCAAAGTGACAGAGTACATACTATGTCCCCTAAATAGAATTAAAGGCCTCAGTTTTTCATTTTTTTTTAATAGGGCTCCCACATTTTTAACTCCATCTAATTAATGATATCCATATGTAAGTGTACCAACATCTGTAAGTCACTTTGGAATACAACTAAAACTAAGATGGGTGAATGGATAAATTGACGATTAGATATACAATAAAGGAAATATAGAAAAAGAGTCATAATGATAGAATCTAGGTAGGTATATGGGTGTTTGCTGTACAATTCTTTCAACTTTACTGAACATTTAAAAATTCTTGTAACAGGGGTGGCCTGCTGGCTCAGCTGGTGGAGTGTGCTACTTTTAATCTTGGGGTTCTAAGTTTGAGCCCTATCTTGCGTGTAGAGATTACTTAAAAATAAAGCCTTAAAAAATGCTCATAATAAAACGTTAGAGAAAAGATTTGGGAAGAATTAATAAAAAGAGAAAACGTTGCTAAAATGGAGACAATAACATTCACATTCATCGTTGTTATAAGGATTAAATTCATGTAAAATGCTTTACACAGTAAGTGTGTGACACTAAGATTTCTCAGTTTGACATTAAGATCCCACAGCTGTCACCTTACAGAAAACTAACAACATGTCCTACCTCGGCATATAGCATTTTGTGAACATGACAGAAGCACACATGTGTAAATCAATAAAATACCATTATGTAGTCTCTGCATCCACATGTCACAAGAGTGGCCATTCATTATCGCTATTAGAATATTGGGCCTGCCCCGCCCCTACACACACATTGTGGTTCATATGTAGAATCCTGTCCTTTTAAACTTCAAAAGACGAGAGGGACACCAGACACTTTTAGAGACTTAAAATCATTCAGAAATCTTAGGTGAATTACTTTGTTCCCACATGAGCCAACTAGAATAACGACTGGCTGAGTAAGAACTAGAGCTATTCCCAATGCCTAAACATCTCATCAGTACCTTCTGGTTCAGTAGTTTATTTACTTTGCTAGCTCAGTCTAATGCTACTGATGGCACTACAAGTCCCCATCCTTCTTTCCTTCATCTACTCAAGTCCTTTTTCAGAGAATGTGGGCATGGGGTAATACACAAATTACCAGGAGTTCAGAGACCTGGCTTTAGGCATTATTAAATTCTTGGCACTCCTAATGTGTCAAATGAAAGAATTAGACTAAGATGAATGTAATTTAAACTTTTCTGGATGGCTAAACGTCATCATTAATTGGCATTAGTTAGTATACTGTTTTGTAACAGAGGCTATTAAGACTTAAAGGACTTTAAGATCATAGAAAAAAAGTGAATAATGGTCTCTCAAAGCTGAAACCTTGCAGTCAATATTGCCCCACCTTTCTTTAGCCTTTGTATTAGAAGAGATCAATAAATACTTGTTTTTTCACTCATAAAGGGATATTAATACTCCCCTTCAAGGGACACTGTGGGAATTAATTAAAGTTGCGTATGTAAAGAACCAAGAAAGATTGGTGGCATGTACTAAACAAATAGTGCCTATTACTGTCATTTTTGAATTAAAACTTTAACTGCAATTCACAAATAATAAAATTATTATCCCTTAAAACATTTCCAAATTCCCTAACATCCCAAACTGCTCTGCCATAGGTAGTTCTAGAACTTCTCTCATCATGGGTATCTAAGCTATAGAGAACTATCTTGTTCCTTCTTTAAGAGGACTCAAGACTCTTCTGTCCTTTTTCTTTTCTTTCCTTTTCTTTTTTTTTTTTTTTTTTTTGAGAGAGAAAGAGAGCATGTATGGGGGAAAGAAGGAGAGGGAGAGGGAGAGGGGGGAGAGAGAGAGAGAGAGAGAGAGAGAGAGAGAGAGAGAGAGAGAATCCTAAGAAGGCTCCACACTCAGCATGGAGTTTGATGCAGGGCTCAATCCCATGACCCTGGAATCATGACCTGAGCTGAACTCAAGAACTGGCTGCTCAACTGACTGACCCAGCCAGGCACCCCTCTTCTGTCCTTTTCTAGCGACCTTTTATTCTCTGCTTTTGAAGCAAATCCTGTTTTCTACAGTCACTTTCAGGAGATGCCATCAAATCTGCCACATGTCCTGCCATCCTCTGATTATAAAATAGGGCAGAACTGGAGGTTGCCAAGGGAAACCAGATTACCATGTGTAACATAAAAATTAAATCAAATGTCTTCGGTATCTGAGATTTGCTAAAGGGTTTTTCCTTCCTAATCCTCTGCAGGCTTCCTGCTCGAGCATGCCAGCAGGTTGGACAGAACTAATCACACAGCAGGAGCTGGAAGACTGAATCCCAAAGAAGTCAGTGTTGTTCAATTATTCAATTTTTACTACGTGCTAATAATGTCCTGGACCGGCTTCTGTTGAGTAAGAAAAGTACATTTATTTCTCTCTTTCAGGTTGCCAAGATAATTTTAATAAATGTTCTATTCCTTAGTTAGTGGGGAAAAAAAATCATTCTCTAGAGTAAGCAATTTAATTCTTTCTCCCCAACAGAAGCAATGGCATTAAAGTTATCAAGTTTAATCAAATTTGGTACCAAAGGCAGCATTATCATCTCCAGAAAATTCAGGAACCACACAACTTAATCCTGGACTCTGCTTTAACTGTATTACAGAATTCTATGCAAGTGCTAAATGAAGCAGCAGAATAACATGCTTGCTATGTGCTTCTGTACTCTGGTAACACACACACACACACACACACACACACACACACACACACACACATCATGGAAAATCTATGCCTAGGAATGGCTTTTGAGCTTAGGGTTCTGAGCTGGGGGTTCATCTAGCACCAGAGGGTAACAGTAGGGCCAAACTGACAATGATTTAAGTATAAGTGGCAGGTGGGACGGACAGAGAGAAAAAGAGGCATTAAAAATGGCATGGTGGGGAGCTACAATTCAGTAAAGCTGGTGCTTAGGTTATATATAATGTGTGCATAAATGTGAGTAGGGATTCAACAACTGGAGGTGAAACTGGAAAGGTCAGCATGTTTTAAGTGCCATGTGAGGGCACGACTCTAAAGAATGAAATCGTAACAGAAGAAATACCACATTTACGTATATATAAAAACCCATGGCGGTGTGCTCAATGAACATGCTAAAGAACGAACAATATTTGATCTTCTTTAATTCATTAAGTCACAATAACCATCATCTGCACACTATTATTTTTCTTACATGGTACCTTAAGAAAATAAAATAGTTCTTCTACCAAAAGGCCTCATTATCATACATGGGAAAATACACTATGGGAATGGAGAGGAGTAAGCAGCTTTAAGAGATAATGAAGAGAGACTGGCAGGACTTGGTGACCAACAATGACACTAAGGTTTCTAAATTACCACTAATGGCCTTTTTAAAACTCAAAAAATCTTTTGAATCCTACACATCTTCTGGACTCATTTATAACACATAATAACAAAGATAATGTATCAAGAGGAAAATGACAATAGTTCTGTGGAAAGCTAGAGGTATTACCCCATTCTCTCTTCTCCCAACACACACACACACACACATACACGCATATGCACACGCACATGCACATGCATGCACACATACATTTATATATTCTACCTCCACACAAATAGGCAGCTGGGAATTAGGTTCAACAACGAAGTCGGTAACAATAGTAACTCTTCTTTCCCCTTCCCAGCATACCTGCCTAACCCTTCCTTCTCTACCTCCACATTCCCCAGCTCACTATAGCCATTAGTATCTGCCTCCCCAGGGCCTGCTCCTCAGTTTGTGACAGGTTTGGGATCAGGTGTGATGGCATAAAGAGGAAGGTAAGAGAGGAGGCAGGAGAACACATTCCTATAGCCATTGCGGGGCTCTACCACCTAGCTGAGGTAAAGACTCCTTGCCCATGTCTCCTCACCTCTACCACCTCTCTGCCTCAATCTTATTCTTCTTTTCCCGAGTCTCTGATAGCACATCTATGATGTAATGACTAACAGACCAAGTCTGGATGAATAAAACTTATGTCAACTATGTTTGAAAGCCCACTCATATCCTCTACATTATCTTTCCCTACAGGGTTGAGAAAAAAATGAAGTGGGACATAAAACCTTCTCACTCCAGCTCTTCCTACTACTGTTGGCAATACAACCTTTGTATAGCATTAAAAAAACTGAACTTTTTATTTTTGACAAGAGGGGAAAAGCATATACAAATCAGCAAAGACATAATGCCCCAGAATCTTCAGGGCAAAATTAGGGCATACAGCTCTACTGACCCAGTTCCCAGGAGAATTCTACTCTTAAATTCTGAATTTTACGAAGGAGAATTTTTCTTGCATTTTCCAACATTCTAGGTGCTGATGTTTGCCTAGCTCTGAAGGACTTATTTAATTGGAAATAACCACCAGAAGAAATTCTATGGAGGTGAGAAGGTAGGGTAGGAATGGAGGTGGGAAGAGGGATCAGAACAGACAGAAGAGTTGCAAAGAATGAATGGTTCTGAGATAGACATACAGACAGATATCACTCACATGGAATCTAAAAAAGAACCACAAAACCATATGAATAAACAAAAAGCAGAATCAGACCTATAAATATAGAAGACAAACTGGTGGCCAGAGGGGAGGAGGATGAGGGACTGGTAAAATGGATAAAGAGGAGTGGGAGATACAGCTTTCCAGTTATGG